TCTCCTCCCCTCCTCCCCTCCCTCTCCCCTCCTCCTCCTCTCTCCTCCCCTCCTCCTCTTCACCCTCCCTCCCCTCCCTCCCTCCTCCTCTTCCCCTCCCTCCCTCCTCCTCCTCTCTCCCACCCCTCCTCCTCCTCCTCCCACCCTCCCTCCTCCTCTCTCTCCCACCTCCTCCTCCCTCCTCTCCCACCTCCTCCTCTCCCACCCCTCCTCCTCCTCTCCCCACCTCCCCCCCTCCTCCTCCCCTCCCCTCTCTCTCTCCCACCTCCCTCCCTCCCTCCCTCCTCCTCCCCTCCCTCCTCTTCCACCCCTCCCACCCCTTCTCCTCTCCCCCTCCTCCCCTCCTCCCCACCCTCCTCCTCCTCTCCCCACCTCCCCCCCTCCCTCCCCTCCCTCCCCACCCTCCCTCCCCCTCCCTCCTCCTCCCTCCTCCCTCTCCCACCATCCCTCTCCCTCCCCTCCCTCCCCTCCTCCTCTTCCACCCCTCCCTCCCCTCCCTCCCTCTTCCACCCCTCCTCCTCCCCTCCCACCTCCCCACCCCTCTCCCTCCCCTCCCCTCCCACCCTCCCCTCCCTCTCCCTCCCCTTCCCCCTCCTCCTCCCCTTCCCCCACTCTCCTCCTCTCTCCCCACCTCCTCCTCCTCCTCCCACCTCCTCCTCCTCTCCCACCTCCTCCTCCTCCTCCCCTCCTCCTCTTCCTTGCCCCTCCTCCTCCTCTTCCCACCCTCCTCCTCTCCCACCCTCCTCCTCCTCTCCCACCCTCCCTCCTCCCCCCCGTGGTTGACTGGTGAGGTGTGGAGGCGGGCAGTGGGCTCTTGCCAACCACAGTATGGCGGCAGTGTGGCTGAAGCCCCGACGGTGCGAAACACAGCTCATGAAGCCACCACCCTTATTCTACCTCCATGATCTATCCCCAGAGAAGATAAGGTTGTGCTCCTTGGTGACTTCAATGCCAGAGTTGGCAGATATGCTGACACTTTGCAGGGAACCATACAGAAAAGGACTTGGCAAGTGTAAACGACCTACTCCTCCTCAGCCAGTGTGCTGCATACAACTTCACTGTCATCAATACCTTGTTTAGGCAGGCCAACAAGTTCATGGGGTCGTGGCAACACCCACGATTCAGACACTGGCATCTCATTGACATCATTGTCAGAGAAAGAGATTGCCGAGATTATCCTCATCACCCGTGCCATGCGTGGCTCAGACCACTGTGACACTGATCATCAGTTCGTCAGAGCCGAGCTCTCACTTCATGTCACTCCAAAACAGTGAAGGTAACAAGCCTCCAAGTGACTGGAGGATCCAGCGGTAACACATGCTTTCAGAGAGCAGACTCAACGATAGGATGACAAACAGCCAAAGAACAAACAATCAAAATTCCACTGCCGAATGGGGTCCCATCATATCTGTCATCACAGCAACCTGCAATAAAACACTCGGCCTGATCAAAAGAAAACACCAGGATTGGTTTGATGAAAACAACCTGGAAACTGAAGTATGTCAATGGCATACTCGTTGCTCTCACTGATTGACAGAACAACCCTAAGTCTCGGACCAAAGCTGATAACCTCGCTCGAGAAGAAAGCGGTGGTCCAGAACAAATTTCACAAACTAATGAACAAATGATGGAAAAATATAACATGTGAAATACAAAAATTGGCTTAACAACTGAAGATGCGATAATTTTTCAATGCCACTAAAACAAATATGGTCCAACTACTCATTGTTCAGCTCCCTTCACTCATCCGATGGTAATTCCTTAATTAAAGATGAAGAAAGCATCCGTCAGCTCTGGAAAGAGCACTACCATTCGCTACTCAACCAAAACACCAATGTGGATGTCCTGACTTTTTTATTCTTTTTTTTTTAAAGGGAATTAGCCCACCTGTGCACAGGTCAAACGACCCACAATGGAGCCTGGGGGGAGAACAGAAAGAAATTGAAAATAGTGAAGAAAAAGGTTATAATGTGTTAATCTACACCACGAAGATGCCGGAAAACCAGCTTTTTAAAGTGAGACAGATTGCATGAGTATGGAAACACAGAAGAAGTCAGTGCATTCCACAGTTTGGCCGTGTGAGGAAAGAAGGAGGTACTATATCGGGTTATTCTCGTTTGACCGACATCCACAGAGAAACGGTGGGCACCGCAGGCAAGATGAGTGTTACAAGCCCATGGCCTTGCCGGCAGTACACAGGATGCCAAATTTACCGAATAATGTCCATTAAAGTACCTGTAAAAGAGAGAGTGAAGCAACATTGCGGCAAAGAGAAAGGGAAGAGAGATTGTCGACTAAAGGAGGAGAGTTAATAAGATGAAATGCCTTTGATTTCACCCTACCTAACAGTAGAAGAGCCACCCCAGATATGAAAGCAGTACTCCAAGTTAGGATGAATGAATCCCTTATATACTTGGAGCAACTGCACAGGATTGAAGTAGCTACGGCATCTGTACAGCATTCCCAACTTTCGGGAGGCAGCTTTAGCTATAATAAGGATGTGTGACTTCCAGGACATATTGGAGGAAATGGTGAGGTCTACCCAGCAGGTCCCTCAGCATCCAGAGGTGACCCACCTCAGTTATCCTCAATCCCTGGATGAGGTAGTCACTGCCATCAAACAGATGAAAAATAACAAAGCCTCAGGGCCTGATGGAATCCTAGCCGAGGAGTATAAAGCAGGAGGACCTCTGCTTACCAGCCGTCTCCACTCTCTCCTGGAGAATATATGGGAAAAGGAGGAAATCCCCCAAGCTCTTAAAGACGCCTCCATCGTCAATATTTATAAGACTGTGGCAAGACTGTGGCAACTACCGTGGGATCTCGCTGCTCTCCGTAGCAGGCAAGATTATCGCCTGTCCTCCTAAACAGACTCCTTCCTGAGGCAGATAACTTCTTCCCAGAATTTCAATGTGACTGTAGACCATCCCGTGACACCAATGACATGATCTTTGCTGCCTGCCAGATACAGGAAAAGTGCAGAGAACAACGTTGTGACCTGTACATGGCTTTCATCGACCTAACCAAGGCCTTCGACTCGGTCAACAGGGAAGCCCTCTGGTGGACCATCAACCGTTTTGGCTGCCCACCAAAATTCATTGCCATTGTGAGGCAACTTCACGATGGCATAAACGGCAGTGTCCTGCACAATGGCACCCAGTCCGAGATCTTACCCATCCAAACGGAGGTAAAACAAGGGTGTGTATCGGCACCAACTCTCTTTTCCATTTTCTTGGCTGCTTTACTTACTCGTGCCAGTGCCAATTTAGCCAGCGAGTGGACATCCAGTATCGGATGAAGGAAATTTTCAATACAAGATGACTCCAGGCAGCTTAATGGTACTACCCTCTCTAATGTTACCCACTTTCAGTACCTTGGCTCCCACTTGTCCACCACCATGGATGAAGAGATTCAACATCTGTTCAGATATGCATCTCAAGCATTTGGCAGACTCAGTACCAGCGTCTTCAGCTGAAATTATCTACGAAGTTGCATGTATATCGAGCAGTGCCCCCCCCAAACCTGCTATATGACAAGGGTTACATACAGGAAGCACCTCAAGGCACTTGAAAACTTTCACCAACATAGTCTACGTTCCATCCTCCGAGTTCGCTGGGAAGACAAGAGACCAAATGCCAGTATTGTCGCTGACACCAACTGTAGAAGCATCGAGGCTACCATTATCCATGAACATCTACGTTGGACTGGCCATGTCACCAGCATGGAAAACAGTAGACTGCCAAAGCAGCTGCTTTACAGTCACCTAACAAATAGCAAACGTAATGCGAGCGGGCAACTGATAAGGTATAAAGGTAGTCTTAAGACAAACCTGAAAAAGTGCCAAATCTACCCCCACACATGGGAGATGATTACTCCACAAAAGAAGGTGTCAATACTTTCAAGTTATGCCCGACTGCAGAGAAGCACCAGCGCCAGAAGGAGGCTGCCGCGGCCCCTCCCGCACTAGATGTAGCCCCCCACATGTGTAACATCTGGAGACGACCCCGCCGGTCCCGTATCGGCATCTTGAGTCACTTCATAGCTCTGGCCTCTTGAGTCACCTCATAGCTCACCAATGAGGAGGAGGATGTAACAATGCCATGTATTGCCTTCCCACATGGCAGGATATACAATATATATAAACGAGTACCCTTCAGGTTTCATCCGTTTCACAAAATGTATTGTGATTCATGTAATCCCTGTTTAACTAGCTAGGAAGATAGGTTCATTGATTTAAAGTGTAACTGTCACACCCTAATAGAAAGTATTCAATAACCATTACTAAGAGTCCTAATTCATCCTCCCTTATTGAGAAAGGTTGATTCGTTATAATTGTCTTGGTGGTATGCTGATACAGTGAGTCCTGAGTAATAACATAACTATTTCATATTTCCCTCTGTTTAAGTTTTTAGTCCTATTCCCTAACTATCAGCCTTTCCCTTAGTCTACCCTCATATAAGATTACCCTGTGGTGGGGGGAGTGACCACAGGCAAACCCCCACCTCCTGTCAACCATAAACAAGTCTCTCTCTTTAGGTCCACTAGCCTTCCTCCCCTCACATTCGTTAACCCCCCCTACCCCTAACCTCCTCCATCTCACGAGTATACAGAGAAAAGAAAGGGGGAAATACAGAGAATAAAGAAATAAATAAAGAGTTAAAAAGAGAACAAATAAATCAATAAAATAATAAGAGGTAAATAAAATGAACATATTGTTACATAGTGACAGCGGTTTAGATATTTCTTAAAAATATCCGTCCTACGTGCCTTAACTACTCGACCACTCTAAAGAAGTGTAGTTTAACATACATTTATTTTGTGTCTGATAAATAATGAGGGTAAGAAAGTGGATTTTTTTTCTTCTGTTGAGTTTACTGAGAGAATCTTAAGGTTGAATGTGGAGTTAATGTGTTTTGATGCTTATCATACTCTGATGAATATACTGTGAGATGAAATAGTCAGACTTACATGTACCATAACACAAGGATAGTCAGACTTACATGCACCATATCGCAGTTTTGTGAGAACATCTTCCAGAGAGGCCCCCCTCCCCCCAGTCTCAGCCAGCATGTGCACCTCATCCACCACCACCAGGCCAAGCTCCTCCACACGGGCAAGCTCCAACAGGGAGTTGACCAGACCAGATGCCTTTTCTATGGTGGCAACATAAACAACGTTTCTGTAACAAGTACAATAAGTTCACTACAACCCACAAGTGTCTTGCTTCTTAATTCTGTAATTATAAAGCACCATTAATATACTGTAATGATCATAGCAGAATATGTGGAACACTTACTTGGCCCGGGCAAGTGATTTATGTAACTTACTTGACCGGATATTTTATTTTTACTTGCCCTGACAAATTTGGAAGGGAATATGCATGCCTATTTTTTATTGGATAAGTTAAATAATAATAATAATAATAATAATAATAATAATAATAATAATAATAATAATAATAATAATAATAATAATAATAATAATAGCTGTTTTTTTTATTTATCAAGAGCACCAGATCTTCCAAAGGATTCACAAGCGCTTGAAACACTACTAATTCAAGGACCTTAGAATATATATAAAAAAACACTACAGATAAAGTGACAATATCTTTTGGTAAACCATAAGTTGTAACACTTCCTAAACCCTGTAACTCTCCACCACTGTACACTGTTCAGAATCTTAAGCTTTCAATAAAACAAAGGTACAGCATGCCTTTACAATTCACGGATTTTTAATTCGCGGCCTTCGATTATTTACGGATGATACCCTGGATGTACCCAAGAATGTCAGCAGGTTGCTTTAAAGCTGGCGGCATTTTCACGGTCGGGTCGGGGAGCCAGCGAGTTTTTTGGTGTCCCACAAGGTGTATCTCTTGTCCCAGGTAGCTGGGCCCTGTGCGCTCACTCCGCCTCAGTCCGGGTTAAACACTTGTCTGTCTCACGCATGTGCTACTCTGTTCTCTTAACCCTTAGGCCCCGGGTGACGTTCCAGAACGTCCGCCTATTTTCCCGCCATTTTTTTTTTAATATTTTTTTTTATTATTATTTTTGGAAATGTAAATTTTTTTTTCCTCAATTTAACCCCGCGTGGAGGTACTGCCAGCAGCACCCTAACCCCTGGCTTAAGGGTGAACAACTGTGCTCCTCGTGTTTGTGATGGCTCCCAAACACCCTCAACCACCTTCATCCAGCCTCGGGAAGGTGCCCAACAAGCGATGAGAAAAGGTCACGTATTTCTCCAATACGTACACCTAGCAATGGGAGCGAGTGACTGCTGGTTAGCACATCGTCTGCAGTTGTATTTCTCCTTCCTCTCTGCTACATTTCACAGGATTTACTGTTATTATTAGTGTTTGCTGCTAGAATAGTGTTTAATAGTGATTAAACATGGCATTGTAGCCAGGTTAAACTCACCACTGTAACCATCAGGCTACTGGGCCAAGCTGTGTGGTGTTAAGGATTTTTTCAACTCGTTTTCTCGGGTAGATATACGGTAATATCTCCGTTAGCCGGAATCTCTCAAACCCGGAACTCTCCGATAGCCGGAATTGAAATTTTCACGGAAAATCGTTCCCAAATCCGGAAAATTCCAGCTTTGGGAACGATTTCCTGAGGGGCACATTTTATGGAAAATTCTGAGAAAATTTTCCAGACATCCTGAAAATTCCGGAAATGGGGGATATCTTTCCGGGTTTGAGAGAATCACCTCGTTACTGGGAAATCTCTCATTCCTGGAAGTGGTCTGCACCAATTGTATTACACCACAATTACCGATCATCCTTCCTGTTGGGTTGGCTAGTTGGCTAGGAAAAAATTCTAAAGTTTGATCAACGTATCAACCAATTTGGCGCTCATATGCCATTTCTTCTCGAGACAGTAATTTTTACGAAAAAATGGCCGTACAGCACCCAACCCACCCAACTTTATAAACAACTAGCAGAAACGCTGCCCTCCGGCTCATCCGCTAGGCCACGGTAGGACACCACCCTCCGTAAGGCTCCACATTGTCTCACTGTTCAATCACAAAAACTTCTTCTTCCATCAATAGTTCATTAACAGTGTATGTAAGTTCCACCATATTTTTCACTACAACGGTACAGTAAAATATATTTTTTTGCATTAAACTGTTATTATTTTATTGTCTAATCATTACTACATATAACATCATCCATCATCACTACATATAACACCACCCATCATCACTATATATAACACCATCCATCATCACTACATAGAACACCATCCATCATCACTACATATAACACCACCCATCATCACTACATATAGCACCACCCATCATCACTACATATAACACCACCCATCATCACTACATACAACACCATCCATCATCACTACATACAACACCATCCATCATCACTACATATTGTAGTGGATTCCTCCCCTACAAGCACCGAACCTTCTCGAATTCCCCAGCCTACGCCTCCAGCGCCGCCCATGGAGACTTATAAGGCTTGACACCGCTGTGACCAGCTCTCTCTCTTTCTACCCAGTGCCACCAGCAAGCAACACCACCTCCGCGCCAGCCGTGTGGCTGCCGCTCCCGCCAGCGACCTTGGCATCCCTCAAGCCGCAGGCCCTCACTCTGGGCACCCTCACCACCCAGCTCTCTCTACTCAATGCTTATTACCATGCTACCTACCCAGCAACAAGCTGAATTGTACATCCAATACAATATGTATACAGTGAGCACATTGTGAGTTTCCTTTCTCCATCCCATCCTGAGTGTGAACCAATATCCCATAACCCTACAATATAACACCATCCATCATCACCATAGATCGGTAAAGTAGTTTCCGAGATTCTCGTGCGGACACACACACAAACAAACAGACATACTTCTTTGTTTTATAGATATATAGAAGCCTGGAGTTGACTTGAGTGTAGACTATCGCACGTCTTCAAACATTTTGTTGTCTTATTTCCTATTATCTGTGAGAACATTGTTCAATTATTTTTTATTTTATTGTATTTATTTTTCATGTGTGTGTGTGTGTGTGTGTGTGTGTGCATGAGTGTGTGTGTGTGCATGAGTGTGTGTGTGGTAGGGGTGGTGGTGGTGGTAGGGATGGTGGTGGTAGGGGTAGTGGTGGTAGGGGTAGTGGTGGTAGGGGTAGTGGTGGTGGTGGTAGGGGTGGTGGTGGGGTAGTGGTGGTGGTGGGGTGGTGGTGGTGGTGGTGAGAGTGGGGGGTAGTGATGGTAGGGGTGGTGTGCAGTGGTGGTAGGGGCAGTGGTGGTGGTGGCGTGTGGTGGGGTTGGTGGTGGTGGTAGGGGTGGTGGTGGTGGTAGGGGTGGTGTGTAGGGGTTGGTGTTGGTGGTGGGGAGTGGTGTGGTGGGGGTTGGTTGGGTTGGTGGGGAGGTTGGTGTGGTGGGGTTGGTTGTGGTAGGGGTTGTTGGTTGGTGGGGGTTGGTGGTGGTAGGGGAGTTGTGGTGGTTGGTGGGAGTAGTTGGGTGGTTGTGGTGGGGTTAGAGTTGGTTGTGGTGGGGAGTTAGTTGGGGTTGGGGTTGGTAGTTGGTGGTGGTGGGGTTGGGGTGGTGGATTGGTTGGGGTTGGTGGTGGGGGTTGATTGGTGGTGGTGGGGTTGATTGGTGGGGTTGAAGTTGGTTGGTTGGTGGGGAGTTGGTGGTTGGAGGGGTTGGTTGGTGGGGGTTGGTGGTGGTGGGGTTGGTTGGTGGTGGGGTGGTTGATTGGTGGGGTGGTTGGTTGGTTGGGGAGTTGGTGGTGGTGGGGTTGATGGTGGTGGTGGGGGTTGATGGTGGTTGGTGGGAGTTGATTGGTGTGATTGGTGGGGTTAGTTGTTTGGTTATGGGGTTGGTTGGTTGTTTGGTGGGGGTTGGTGGTTGGTTGGTGGTGGTTGGTTGGTTGGTTAGTGGTGGTGGTGGTTGAGTTGGTGGTGATGGTGAGTTGGTGGAGTTGGTGGTTGGTTGGTGGGGTTGGAGGTTGGTTGGTGGGGTGGGGTAGTTGTTGGTGGTTGGTGGGGTTGGTTGTGGTGGTGGTGAGGTGGTTGAGTTGGTGATGGTGGTGGGGGTTGGTGAGGTGGTGGGGTGATGGTGGTTGGTGGTGATTGGTGATGGTGGTGGTAGGTTGAGGTTGTGGTGGTTGGTGGGTGTGATGGTTGTTGGTGGGGTTGGTGGTTGGTGGGGTGGTGGTGGGGTTGATTAGTTGGGTGGTGGGGAGTTAGTTGGTTGGGTTGGTGGGGTTGTTGGTTGTGGTGGGGGTTGGAATTGGTTAGTTGGTAGGGGTTGGTTGGGGTTGTTGGTGGGGGTTGGTTGGTGATGGGGAGTTGATTGGTGGTGGTAGCAAGGTGATGGTTGGTGGTGGGGGTTGTGGTGGTGGTGGGGTTGATGGTTGTTGGTGGGGTTGATGGTGGTGGTGGGTGAGTGGTGTGTGGTGGTGGTGGTGGGGTTGTTGGTCGTGGTAGGGGTTGGTGGTCGTGGTGGGGGTTGGTTGGTGGGGGTTGGGGTTGGTGGTGGGGTGGGGGTTGGTTGGTGGGGTTAGTTGGTGGTTGGTGGGGTTGATTGGTTGGTGTTGGTGGGGTTAGTTGGTTGGTGGGGTTGGTGGTGTGGTGGGGGTTGAGTTGGTTGGAGTTAGTTGGTGTTGGTGGTGTAGGTTGGTGGGGTTGGTGTTGGTGGGGTGGTTAGAGGTGGTTGGGGTTGTTGGTTGGGGGTGGTGGTGGGGTTGGGGTTGGTGGGGTTGGTTGGTGGTTGGGGTTGTTGGTTGGTTGGTGGGGGTTGGTTGGTTGGGGTTGGTTGGTGGGGTTGGTTGGTTGGTGGTGGGGTGTTGGTTGGTGGGGTTGGGGTTGATGGTGGTGGTGGGGTTGATGGTGTTGGTGGGGTTGATGGTTGGTTGTTGGGGTGGTGGGGTGGTGGTTAGGGGGTGTGGTGGTTGGGGGGTGGTGGTTGGGGGTGGTGGTGGTTAGGGGGTGGTGGTGGTTGGGGGATTGGTGGTGGTTAGGGTGGTGGAGTGGTTAGGGTGGTGGAGGTGGTAGGGTGGGAGGGGTGGTGGAGGTGGGGTGGGGGTGGGGGGTGGTGGTGGTGGGGTTTGGAGGGGTGGTGGTAGGGGTTTGGAGGGGTGGTGGTAGGGGTTTGGAGAATTGGTGGTAGGGGTTTGGAGGGGTGGTGGTAGGGTTTGGAGGGGTGGTGGTAGGGGTTTGGAGGGTGGTGGTGGGGTTTTGGAGGGTGGTGGTGGGGTTTGGAGGGGTGGTAGGGGTTTGGAGAGTTGGTGGTAGGGGTTTGGAGGGGTGGTGGTAGGGTTTGGAGGGGTGGTGGTAAGGGGTTTGGAGGGGGTGGTGGTAGGGGTTTGGAGGGGGTGGTGGTAGGGGTGGGGGTGGTGGTGGTGGAAGGGGGTGGGGGGAGTGGTGGTGGTAGAATTGGTGGTGGTAGGGGTGGGGTTGGGTAGGGGTGGGGTGGTAGGGAATTGGGGGTGGTAGGGGTGGGGGGTGGTAGGGGTGGGGTGGTAGGGTTGGGGTGGTAGGGGGTGGGGGTGGTAGGGAAAGGGTTGGTAGGGGTGAGGGGTTGGTAGGGGTGGGGAATTAGTGGTGGGGGTGGTGGAGAGTTGGTAGGGGTGGGAGGGTTGTGGTGGTAGGGGTGGGAGAGTTAGTGGTGGGTTGGGGTGGGGGTGGTGGGGGTGGGGGTGGTAGAGTTGGTGGGGTGGGGGGTTGTGGTGGTAGGGTGGGAGAGGGTTGTGGTGGTAGGGTGGGAGGTGGTGGTGGTAAAGGTGTGTTTTTGTTTTTTAACTTTTTGAGGATTAACACCAGGCTGAGTCACTGGCCCACATTCTGTATAAT